TCTGCAGCCCCATCCCTGCAGCAGGACGTGTCCCCACTGGGTGGGCAGAGCAGGGCAGGGCTCGTATTCTCTCTCCCCGACTCCCTGCAGAGCCAGGCCAGGCGCTGTGTGAAGGTTACCTTTGGCCCACACAGAGGTGACCGGGGCAGGCATTCAGGTGGAAAACTGCATGGAGTTGTCTCTCAGTGTATCACAGAGACTATTGCAGTGTTTTGGAGGTATCCTTTGCTGTTCTTCTTCTCCAAGCTAACGTAAAATGCTTACAAGTTTGACCATCATGACTTCTGCGTCTTTATTTACCAATAATGTACTTAATTACTTGTGTAACGTGTGCATGGTATTTTTCCTGGTTAACAAAGGAAGTAGAAGATTCGCTTGGCTGCAGAATATGCAGTGATCCGTAAGGAGAAATGCCACGTAGAAGTAAAGAACTTGTTATTTATTGCTTAGCCCTGAGGAACTAAGAGGTCTGTAAAAAGCAGCAAGATTGATTTCTATAGGAAATATGTCAGGAATTTCTTCGATTCAGTCTTCCATATATCTGATTAAGTGAGAAATGAATTACTTTCGATTTCAGTCACCTATTGCTGAATCGTTGGGCTTCAGCCACCTCCCGAAAAGGCCACACTTCTAAACTCTTATGACATATCAGAAATCTGAAGACCATCCATTGTATTGAAGACATGGCTTCCACAATTCTTTAAGTTAAACAAACCTTCATAAATAAGGCACTTTAATCACCACAATATCAAAAATTATTAGTAAAGATAACATTTCCTCCCTAGCAAGGGACATAACAGCACAACAAAATGTAACGGGATATTGGTGGGAAGGTACAATCAGTACTGCCATCCCACCAACATCTGCCTCTGACATTGTGGGCCAGTAAAATAAAACAGGAGACATTGCTTTCAGAGACCACAGCTAGATCAGGTTGCCCAGGGCCAGGATCTGGGCATCTAAGCTACATCCACTGTTACATAAAGCATTAGAAGAGCTGAAGTTAAAGTTAAGTCACTTTTTAATGAGTGAGTCCAAATGATGCAACAGAGAACAGCTGTGTTTTTGTGGGGTTTTTTTTTTTTTCCCTTAAGTTTCAAATGTGTGAGAGTTGGTTTTCTCAAAATGAGGCTTTTTAAAAGTGTAGTTACTGAGATAAAGGACAGTTGTGCTTCTGAGTATTTTTCTAGAGGACAGCGAGAATGCTGGTGTTTACAAGATGTTCTCTTATATAAATATTTTTGCTACTCTTTGTTGTTACTGAAACAAACCAACCAACCTGGCAGACCTGATTCATGGCTGGGGGAGTGTGTGTTTTGTGGATGTTGGTTTTGCAGCTCCTTTTTATAGCCCAGGCTCAGGAGGGAAATGGGAGGAGGGGTAGGATAGCATGCGGGGAAAGAACCAAGAGGGCTGCAGGAAGTGGATGCTCACCCCACAACTTCCCAAAAGGCTCAGCTTGATAGTGGCAGAGCAGTGGGGTTCTCTTTGTGCATCAAGCTTGGTCTTCCAGCCTGAGAGTGGGGATGCACGTGCTGTTCCCATCACACAGCAGTGCTCTGGCAGTCCCACTGACACACATATACACTCCTGCCTAAAGATTTTTTCTGTTTCCACAAAGGCTCAGCCAGTGCCAGCTTTCTGGCTTGCATGCAAGTGCACCATGCTTCAGAGCTTCACGGCACTGCTGCTTCATACTGCAGGTACAAAAATTGACTGATGCAGGTTCCCATGTGGTGAAAGGGCTCATGGTGCTGTCATTGCGTGTTTGGTGGCTTCAGGTCAGCAGTCAGCTCCGTGCTCAGTAGTCTGGTGATGTTCCTGTTTGGTGGCTTCTGGGTTTGCTTCTTCTATTTTGTTTTTTTTTAATTGCAAGGCATCCAAATGGGATGAAAATTTTTATAGTGCTTGGAGATATCAGAAAGGATGCCTTGTTTCTTCGTGAGGAACAGCAGAGATACCAAATCTGTCCTGCTGCTGGAGGAGAGCTCAGGGGAGTTATGTGGAGTTTTGAGTTTCAGAGCTCCATCTTCTTTCTTTTTTATCTATCTTTAGAACTTTGTGGGCTATGTAAACTAGCAGAGTGTTACATGAGACTAAACCCAGCTCTGAGCAGCCTGATTTACTGCCCCCTCCTTCACATTTCAGGTTAGTCCACATGAGAATATGGTAATTACACAGCTACCAGCCCATACTTATAGCCAACTTTTAGCTGCTTTATAGACAAAAGTGTGCTTTACGAGTACGCTTAGACTTGCATAAGGTGGCATGCACAGTTTTAGTATAATGCAAGAGTGTCCTTTTGCTCAATTTACTTCTCTTTTATCTGACACAACCTGAAGCGGGGAGAAAAGCTGACTTATGCCTTAGGCTCCTGCAAAACCACTTCCACCAGAACTGGGAGCTTGGTTCTGTTCGTACTCACCTTGTGATTAAGCTGTAAAAGCAGCTGATGCAGATCTTAAGGTTGCATGGGCAGACCTTGCCTTGGGGAAATCTGCTTGAGAATACAGGCTCACATGACCTGAGGTATGCAGTTGTGACCGGAAAGCCCGAGTTTTCAGCATGAGTCTGGCGGCAGATTCATCCTGCTGAGGACTGTGACCCAGGGCATGTAGTGCTGTCAGTCCTTCCTAAAAGGTCTGCCCTGTTCTGGTCATTTCAGTAAGAATGATTCACTCCAGCGTGGGAATGTGATGTGGTTTCAGTATGATGCTTCCGAGAGCCTCAGGTTGTAAATCACAGAATCATGGAATGACCAGGGTTGGAAGGGACCTCAAGGATCATGAATCTCCAACCCCCCGCCACATGCAGGGCCACCAACCTCCTCATTTAATACCAGACCAGGCTGCCCAGGGCCCCATCCAACCTGGCCTTGAACATCTCCAGGGAGCATAGGAAGATATTTCAGGGTTTCATTTGCCTTTCTCACGCAATCTCCTAAGCTTGCAAACACATCATCTTCTGGCAGATGTGACCTATGTTTTTAATAACTCTTAATCAGACAGGAATCTACAAGAAAGCCCACTGCCAAATAGAGGTAAGCTGTGAAATTCCTCACCAAACATTTGTTTACGTGTGCTGTCCAGCTGTCATTATGTTCTACAGAGGCATTCTGTGTATTTTCTACGTGGGCTGTAGCACTGAGGTACATGACAGCAACCACTGTCAAAGACAAGAAAGTGTGAAAGCTGTTGCATCCATGTCCTGTCTGCATTATTATTGATCCCAAATGTTGTTCCAATCATTTAATGAAACGCTGGTGGACTGTACTGATAATATTACAGGGGTGAATAATTAAGAACAGCCTGAGCATAACTGCTTGCCACAGCTGAGGTCTACCCTAGCAGTCATTTGTGCATTCCACCTGACATCCATCAGTTACATGACATACTGAATCTTCATTGAATGAAGTGACAGTAAAGTTCCTTTTAATCCCATAAAACCTTTCCTAATCAGAAGCACTCTCATACTAAATAGATAATGTGATCTCTGCGCTTGGTCAGTTGGATTCCTTGGCAGCTAGTAGATAAAATAATATGCACTTCATGAAGATGGATACATCCAGTATAGCTATGAGAAGGGTCTTCCCCATGCCTGAACAGCAGCATCAGGGAGATACAGTTGTATTTGAGGACAAAAAACATTTACAGTGCCGATGCTTTCATTTTGTCAGGTTTGCTTTCTTAAAGCATGGGACTTGGGTGTAAATGTGTTGTTTTATCCCTTCCATTTCAAGCTTTCAATCACTCTTCGGATTTCTCCTTTGAACTGTGGTAGCTCCCCAGGCGAGTGATGTTAGGCAGGAATCCTGGCACAGCCATTGCATGCACTTTCATGTGTTCGATCAGTGACTTCTGCCACCTCACTTTTTTCTTACTAGCATTCTTCTGGCTGGGCCTTTTGTCATTATTGTACACAGAACTCTCTGTTGGCTCCTCCATCGGTGTCTTGGCCGGCCTATCGCCTGCTGGTTTGGTTTTTACAAAAAACAGAACAACCCAATACCCTTGTGAGGATGAGAGAAGGTAAAAAGGTGGAACTATTCCTGATGTCCATGGAAGAAGAATGCTCGTGAAATTTAGCGAGAAATTCAGTTGTAAAAATGGATGGTTTTAATTTGCATCTATATGATGACTTTCCCCTTGCATAAAAACTATTTGTTCTATGAACGTAAATGACATTAAAGAGTTTTTGTCAGGCGAAAAGACATATTTTGAAATAATGACAGAAAGTGAGTGTGCTCAAAACCAAATGGGAACTGCAGATGGTCTCCTGCAGTATCTGTGTTACGTACAGAAATTCTGTGCACGTTCAGCTATTCCAGTTGCTAAAACTATTCCAATTTCTCATAAGGAAATATCCCTTCATATTTGCTACCTGCACTTTCAGTTCCAAATACTTGCAGTGTGTTCCTCTGCCACTGACAGTGCTTCACCCGGAGTGGCCTTTGCTACGCAGTCACATTCCCTGTGGCCTCAAAAGTTTCCTCTGGGAGAATCACCACAGGAAGTACTTAGTGACTGTAGGCATACCAGTGGATAATACCAAAGGCCTGCAGATCTCAGGAGGCCTTTTCACATTTGTATTTACTAATGAGTACCATATGATTAGGATTGCTCTCTCTATATATGCTTTATTTTCTGAGCCTTTGGTAAGATGCCTTGTAGCTCTTTTACTACACCCCACCACCCGTTCTGTCAGAGAATAACAAGTCAGTGCTGCTGCTTAGCTTGTGAGTTTACACTGATGCTAGAGTGGAGCTCAGTTGACGTGTGCCCTCTTTGGCAGCAGCAGGTTGGCCTCCAGCGTGTACTGCTCTTGCTTGATATGTTGGTTGCAAACCTCTGGGAGGTAGAAAACCTCCTCCTCTTCACCAGGAGTAAAGGAAATACAGGATATAAATCAGCAGGAAAGCAGAATGCACTATGCCTCTTCTGTTGTATCCCTGAAAAATTATCATCTTTCTCAACTCCTATTTTTGCAATTTTGTTTTGTAGGAATCTGAATTTCTCTGCCTGGAGTTTGATGAGGCCAAGGTGAGCCAGATGCTGAAGAAACTCTCAGAAATAGAGGAAAGCATGACTGCATTGACTCAGACCACCTGACTCACAGAAAATAAAGAGATTGCAACTCAAAAAAACAAATGACCTCAGTACTTATTCATAGTGCCTGTTCCTGTATATAAAATAGGTAATGATTGTTAAGTATCAGTTATAACTGTTCAACACATTCAGAACAAAGCATGGGTGAAGTTAAGCTGTAAAGCTCTCTCCAGCCCCTCCTCCAGGCCTGTTCTCCAAGGCAGCAGTGATGTTGCTTGCATAAAGCTTTGCATAATCATCCCTTCAAGTTTAGAGTAGCTTTTCCCTTTTTTTTTTTCCTACCCATCAGTTTTTTACTCTTCCAGATGCTGTAAATGCTGCGCTGAGTGAACAGCAAAGGTAAATTGGCCAGTTGTAGTAGGAGAGAAATGAGCAGAAGGAACAGACAGACTAGGGGGATTTGTGTTTATCCTTCCAAACCATGGGCTATGTAGGACAGATCTACCTACGCAAACTCTGCCTGCCTAGAGCTTGGAGCACAGGAGATGAAGTGCAGAGAGTTCAAGGAGAAGAGTCACAAAACACATTTTTTTCTAATCACAAGCTTCTATGCTGAGGATTAAGTAAATGGTTCCCAAGCACGTGAGTTGCCCCTGCCGAGCTGCTGATGAACACTCACCCCATGCCACAGAGAGCCAGGGGACGGCCACGGGAGCATCTCTTGGGCAGCTCAAGGTGACACTGGTTTCCCAAAAGCCTGATGTAGTGACCTGCTGGCAAGCTTCCAAAGCCTCTTCTAGCCTGCTTCCCTGAAGGTTGGCCGCCCTGGTTAGCCTTCCGGCTCCTGAGCCTTATGTGGCACAGCCCTGGCATGGTGCTGCATGCTGTGTTTGAGAGACCAGTACTTTGTCAGTGCACAATTTAACTTGGCTGCTCTTTACCATGATGTTTGTCTTGACCTTGAAAACTCCCAGGTTAAACCCAGAGTTTGTAGTGTGGGTGTGCTCAGCTAGGAATCCGCGGAAGGAAAATGCCCTTGGCAAACGTGCAGATTATAAAGCTCTACTGATAAAATAATTGTGTGAAGAAAACTTCCAAAGGCAGATAAGATACATATAGAGCACTGTGATTGAAACTGAACTGTGGCTTTTTTGGCTGTCGCAAGAACCCGCCTCTCTCCCTGCCCATAACACAGAACTGCAGTGCAGCTGCTGCCCTTCCAGCCAGGGGGGAATGAGCTGAGATGTTTTGTTTCACACGTTTCAGTTCAGGGGTTGTCCACTTTGCCACAACAGGAGCAATAACCATAATTACTGCCTTCCCTGTGCAGGATGACATGGAGGAGCTGCACGGAGCATGATGGTTCCTACTGGAGAACTGCCTGACAGTCCATAGAGTAGTGATGGAGCACGACCCTGATGTGCTGCTCTTGTTACTAACAGGAAGGCATGCTTACACATTTGGTTGGAGGCTACACTGGTTCTTCCTTAGCTTCATAAGCAAACTTCTCCTGAGCAAAAATTATATTGGCTAATACTAAGCTAAAGATGCCGTAACTGAAGTGCTCCTCGCTGATTCTCCATATGATTTTTTTGCTTGTAGAGTTGCCAGATTGTACTTGGAAGCACACACTCTTTTCAGAGCAAAGAAAGGGCACCTTTTCCCATCTGCCTGGTCAGGAGGTAAAGCATCACCCAAGTTGATTTGTATCACTGCACTCGGAATTAACATTTGCTTTCCCATGCTTCTGCCCAAACCTTACAGCCACCTGCTTCTCCCCTCTTTTTGGAAGGAGCGCACAGCTCCAGGTCTTTATTTTCCCCATTTGGCTGCAGCTGATACTTGTCAGAGTGGAACAGGGGACTGCTGGGCCTGGTCCTCACACCAGTCCCTGGATAATTAGGGGTGTGAAACGCTGAGTGATTGCTGATTCTTTTGGATTTCTACTTGCCTCTTCTCAGTGTTCATTTAATTATTTTTCTGCATTTTAGCACATGCAAAAAAAAAGTCAAGGTCAGGGAAGGATCATGATCTTAAGTAACTTGCACTGTGTCAAACATACTTATTGTTTTATTTTAACATGGTCAGAGGATAGGAAAATGTGCTATAAATGGAAATTAAAGAGAAACAAACTGGGAACAGATGTCAGGAAGTATTATTTCATACAGAGAATAATAAATATGTGAAATGGCTAACCAGGCAAGGCAAGGAGGTTGAGGCAAAAAAAAATGAGGTCATTGAGGAAATGATTGGACACTTTCCTAGTAGTGGTAAGATGTTTAAATTGAATTCTCTTCATTTCTTCTTGGTGGATCTTAGTAAACTACCAGGCAAAAACTAGAAAAAAAATGCTTAATATTTTTGGGACCACACTGCTCAACCCTTGGTAAGGACACAGGAGTCACTGGACAGCACAATCGTTTCTGCTTCACAAGCTTTGACATGGGCAGGCAAAGGATGCTGTGCTTTCTCAGGCTGAGCAAGGAGAACAGATTTCCCCCTTGAGCAGGACTGTGCTGCTTTCATCTGAGAGTGGTGGAGGAAAAGAGGCCTCGGACGCAGCTCTACTATGCTTCCTTGAGTGAAGGACCACTTGGCTCTTTGTTGGGATGCATGGGCTATTAGCTTGCTATCAGTGAGCCTATTAAATATATTAAATGTACTGAATACAAAGCCAAGTGCAAGGTCGTCTTGTACCTGGGTCGTGGCAACCCCTGCTATCAGTACAAGCGGGGGATGTGAGGATGGAGCACAGCCCTGCTGAAAAGAACCTGGAGTGCTGGTGGATGGCAAGCAATGTGCCCTCACAGCTCAGAAGGCCAACCAGATCCTGGGCTGCATCCAAAGCAGTGTGGGCAGCAAGGTGAGGGGGGTGATCCTGCCCTTCTGCTCTGTGCTGTGAGACCTCATCTGGAGTGCTGCGTCCAGATGGGGAGTCCTCAGCACAGGAGAGACATTGACCTGTTGGGAGTGTGTCCAGAGGAGGGACACAAAAATGTGTCCCATACAAGGACAGGCTGAGAGCTGAGGATGTGCAGCCTGGAGAAGAGAGAGAAGGCTCCGGGGAGACCTGAGAGCAGCCTTTCAGTATCTAAAGGGGGGCTGTAGGAAGGAAGGAACAGACTCTTCAGCAGGGCCTGTGTGATAGGACAAGGGGAAATGGTTTCCAACTAAAAGAGAAGACTTGGACTGGATACAAAGAAGTTTTTATGGTAAGGATGGTGTGGCATGGGAACAGGTTGTCCGGAGAGGTGATGGATGCCCCGTCCCTGAAGACACCCAAGGTCAGGCTGGATGGGGCTCTGAGCACCTCATGGATCTGTAGGTGTCCCTGTTCATTGCAGGGGGGTTGGTCTACATGGCCTTTGAAGTCCCTTCCAATTCAAATAATTCTGTGTTTCTGTTATGTTTGCAGTGGTGGCAGTGAAAGCTGGCCACCAGCCCTGTTTCCTGCCCTGTGACTACCACTCCTGCCCTCCACAACATGCTCAGTGGTTGGGGATAGAGGTCTCCAGCCATACAAAGCCCTGGATGAATTTATCCAGGAAACCTTCCACCTCACTGTGAATGAAATCATCATTGTAACTGCCCAGAGCAGTCAGTCAGTCCTGTTTCTGCTGGTGCTCTCCTACTGATGCAGGTGATGGCTCCCAGAAATCGTGGTGGATTCACCCCACGGCAAACAAGAGTGGGATGGGGCTGTGGCTGTAGCTCTGGCACCATGTATGATGACCTCAGATGGGCACATCCAGAGGTGCATCTCATCCCAATATCTGCTGCTGCTTTTGTGGCCTGTAATTAGTGAATGGCAGCCATGTGTTGTTGCAACCTTCATCTCGTTCTTCCTTTGATGTCACCTTTTGCATTGCTAATATGCCTTGCAGTTTATTCAGTCAATCACTTCTTGTTTTCCGGGAATTCCTCCAAGTTGCCACTTGTTTATGATCTGGTGCTCCCTACATTATCTCCCAGCGCCATCACCTTCAGTCATACATTGCACAATGTGCAAGGCTTACAATTGCTATCTGGTTGCAAAAAGATTTCTCTTGATGCAATTTTCTTTTTTTTTTTTCAGTCCGTGTATTCCCCAAATTGCTTAATTTGTAGAACATTTTTCTGGGCATTTTGAGAGATTTTTCACTTCTGTACACCAGTCCTTTATATACTTTGTTACCTATCGATAAAATAAATCTCTTACCATCTTTCTGAGTATGCTTCTTCGTTTACGTATTGACTGAACATCTGTGGATGTGTAAGTCTCTGAGAAGCTTCACCTGATGACTCAGCTTGCTCCACATTGGTGGAGGAAATGTTTTCTTCCCCTCCTGGGGAATTTGAATGGTTCATTTATTCCAAATATTCATTTATTCCAAATATTTACAGAAAGGTGCTCCGTCAGTGCTGGGTACAGACAGTGCCTTTTTAAGATAGCCTGGCCAGGGAGGCACAGAGTCCTTTAACAGCAGCCACTGATGACTGTTTGTGGCACTTTTCATGTGTTTTTATCTGGAAAAATAGATGACAACTCACTGCTGTGGAACCAGGTCTGTCAAAATCCTGTGCTCAGAGTGCTGTTCAGCAAACACAGAGACCAGGCTGCCAGCTACAGGCTTTGTCTCCCCAAGAAATTGAGGGGTTGAGGGAGCCCCTGCACCACAACTGTCCTGGCTGTAACTTCCTCCTTGTATAGGCATTCTCGGGAAAGAAAACAAATTGAGAAATGAGAATTGAGCAACCAAGCTGCAAAAGAAAACCTCCTGTTAAGAGGTAAGTCTGGAGATCTGTGGGTGCTGGAAGGTGATCTGCAAACTGGAGGAAAGCCATCTTGTGCCCTTGTCCTCAGCAGAGACAAAGTCCTGGGGGAAATTTTCCCTATGATCAAAAGCCCAAACGCCTTGTCCTTCCTCCTTGATTTCAGTGGTAGCAAAGAAGATCTTGAAATGCAAGAAATTGCAGGAAAACAGGTTTAAAAGGATGTCAGGAGAGCCTGCCTGGAGCATCTGCGCCCGGGCATTTTGCAGGTAGCTATTAACTTTACTGAAG